ATCCTGGCCATGGGTTTGTCATAAATTGCCTTGATTGTGTTGAGGAATGTTCCTTCTATCCCCAATTTGTTTAAGACTTTCTTCATGAAAGGATGCTGTATTTTATCAAATGATTTCTGCATCTATTGAAATAGCCATATAGCTATTCTTTTTCAGTTTGTTAATTTGACATATCACATTGATTGATTTGTGAATGTTGAATGGCCCCTGCAAACCAGAGATAAATCCCACTTGGTCTAGGTGATGATCTTTCTGATGTCCTGTTGGATTTGATTATCTTAAATTTTTATGAGGACTTTTCATCTACTTTCATTAGGGATATTGGTCTATATTTCTCTTTCTCTGATGAATCTTTTTCTGGTTTAGGATTTAAGGTGATGCAGGCTTAATAGAAGGAGTTTGAGAGGATTCCCTTCCTTTCAATAGTTTGAATAGCTTGAGAAGTATTGGAATTGGTTTTTCAAATGTCTGATAGAATTCAGCAGTAAAACCAACCAGTCCTGCACTTTACTTTGGAAAGTCTTTATTCCTGATTCAATTTCAGTCTTGGTTATTGGTCTGTTTAGATTTTCTATATCTTTGTAACTCAATTTTGGTTGATTGTCTATCTAGGAATCTATCCATTCCTTCTAGGTTTCCCAATTTTGCAAACGGCTTTTGTAGTATGCATACTTTGCATACGGCTCTTTGTAGTAATTCCTGATGACTCTATTATTTTTCATCTCTGACTTTATTGATTTGGGTATTCTCCCCCCCCCTTTTTTTTTGGCTAGTTGGGTCAATGGTGTATCAATTTTGTTTATTTTTTCAAAAAACCAGATCTTCATATCACTGATTTTTGTATTTTTTGTTTCAATTTTGTTTATTTCTTTTCTAATTTTAACTATTTCATTCCTCAAATTTGGGGTTTGGTTTGTTGCATTTCTAGGTCCTTGAGATGGATTCATAGCTCACTTGTTTGGACTGTTCCAATTTCTTCATGTAGACAACGATTGCTATAACTTCCTTCATCACACTGCTTTTGCTGCATCCAATAAGTTTTGATATGATGTATTTTCATCTTCATTTGTTTCCAAAACTTTTTTATTTCTCTTTTGATTTCTTCTATGACCACTGTTCATTCAAGAACATGTTGTTCAGTTTCCATGGGTTGTTAATTTCCAGCTTCATTCCATTGTGCACAGAGAAGTTGCATAGTATGATTTCAATTTTTTTAATTTGCTGAGACTTGCCTTATGGCCTAGCATATTGTCTATGCTAGAGAAAATTTCCTTGCACTGATGAGAAGAATGTGTATTCTGCAACTGTATGGTGAAAAATTTTGTAGATGACAGTTAGGTTCATTTGGTCCATTGTGTCAATTAAGTCTGTTGTTTCTTTGTTGATATTCTTTTTAATTGATTTGTCCATTGAATAAAGTGAGATATTGAAGTCCCCTGTTACTATTGTATTGGAGTATGTCTCCCTTCGTGTCCATTAATATTTCTTTTAAATAATAGGCATTCTGTAATTGGGTACATATTCATTTACTATAGTCACTTCTTCCTGTTGAATTGATCCCTTAATCATTACATAGTGCCTTTATTCATCTCTTTTAGCAGTTTTTATGTGAAAGTCTATTTTGTCTGATATTAGGATGGCAACATCTGCCTTTTATTGCTTTCCATCAGTGTGGAATATTTTCTTCATCCTTGTGCTTTCAGTCTGTGTGTGTCTTTGTTGGCGAGGTGTTTTTCTTGTCAGCAGCAAATAGATAGGTCTTGTTTATTAATTCATTCAACCAGTCTGTATCTTTTAATTGGAAAGTTGAGGCCATTTATATTCAAGGTGACTATATAAGTTACGAGTTTGCCCTACAACTTTTCCATAAATGTTCCTGTTTTTTTTTCTTTGGCTTTTTTAAAATTTTTATTAGGGTATTTTCTGCCTTCACATTCTTGCATAGTGATGGCTATCTTTCTGTGTTTCTGTATGTAGCACATCCTTAAGCATCTTTTGTAAGCCTGGGCAAGTGGTGACAAATTCTTTCAATTTCTCTCTGTTGTGGAAGGTATTTATTTCATCTTCATTCATAAATGAGACCTTTGCAGGGTATCATATTCTGGGTTGACAGTTTTTTTTTTTTTCTCTCAAGATTTGAATTATACTTTGCCATTCCTTTCTAGCCTATAGAGTTTCTGATGAGAAGTCAGCTGTGAGTCTGATTGGAGGTCCTCTGAATGTAATCTGACATTTTTCCCATGTACATTTTAAGAACTTTTTCTTTATGTTTTACTGTAGAGAGTTTGACTACAATGTGTTGTGGTGAAGATCTTTTCTGGTCATGTCTCTTAGGACTTCTGTGTGCTTCCTCTACTTGGACATCCCTTTCTTTCTCCAAATTGTGGAAGTTTTCTGTAATTATTTCACTAAGTAGGCCTTAAAGTCCATTCTCTCTTTCCATACCCTCAGGAACTCCTAAGACTTATATGTTGGGTCGTTTGTTAGCATCCCAAATATCTCCAACACTGTTTTAAGTTTTCAATTTTTCCTTGTTTTTTTTTTTTTGTTTGTTTGTTTGTTTGTTTGACTGTAAGATTTCCAAAGATTTGTCTTCTATTTCAGACATTCTTCCTTCTGCCTCACCAAGTCTGCTGTCAAGGCTTCCCACAGCATTATTTACTTGATCCATTGACTTCTTCATTTCTAATATTTCATCTTGATTTCTCCTTAAAATCTCAATTTCATGGGAAAACTTTTAATTCACATAATGTATGGTTTTCTTCAGTTAGTGGATTTGCTTCTGATTGGCTTTGAGTAATCCTATGATTAATTTCTAATTCCATTTCTGGCCTTCCCTCAATTTCTTCATCTTCACATTCTAATATTGAAATGTTCTTGTGTTTGTTTAGGTTGGGAGGGTCATTATGTCTTCCGTATTCTTTCCGCATTTGTTTTTAGGCATCTGTGCAGTTCATTTTTATTTTTTCCCTTTGATGGCTTTTATCTTTGAGCTATGCCTCTGTGGCTTTGTGGGATGTCTGCACTTTCAGTGAATACCCAGAGGTGTGTGCTGGGTGTGGTCTGGGAGCTATAGTCAGTGCTCCACAATGAGGTAAGAATCCAGGGTAACACCCAAGTTGGGCATGCCCAGGTGTTAGCCCCAGTGTGTTCCGTGCCAACATATGAACCTATCAAATGATCTACGTGGTTCTCACTGTGAGCACAGTGAGCATGTGGAGCTGCTCCCAGTGATTGCCTAGAGACTCAGCTACTCCCTGCACTTTCTCATGTGACCACTGAGTCCCCACGATCTCATCATGCACACAAGGCTCCCATAGTTGCTGGGTGCAGAGGTTTCTGTTTGCCCCATCAGCCTGCCCAGTCAACAGAGAGGCAGATGTTCCCTGAGACATCTCTGCCTAGACATGTTTATCCTGGGAGGCTATGCATGCCTCAGGGTCCTACATGTTGTTCAGCCACTTCTCAGACACGCTCAATGTCAGTGGGGACTGCAGATTGTTCCCTCCACTGGAATCACTGGATCACATGGGTACAAAAGTGCCACTGCAGTTGCTCCACCACTGCAGCCAGTACTTCTGTGAAGGTGGTATCCTATCTCAGCCAGTTCCTGGGTGTGCTCATAAAGGCTTGCACAACTGCCACCCAGACCCAAAGTGGTATCTACCCTTTCTCAGCAGGGCAGCAGGCTCTGTTGTGGGGAAGTTATGGGGTGAGACAAATGTGCTGCTTCTAATTCCATTGTGTCCACAGGCAACAACTAGCCCCCAGAGCTCCAGTCCAGACTCAACACCACACTCTCCTTCTGGTTATATTGCCATGAGTTGCTGCAGTCCAGCCTCACCTTCATTGCCAAGCTGCTGCCCACTTTGGCTCTCAGCCACTGCGATCCACAAAGGTCCACGGGGTTCTTCCTCCTCTTGTAGGATTTCTGGTATGATTTTTCTCTCCAATTCTCCCTTGAAAGTGCACTTCCTACACTCTTTCTTTCAAAGTTTATTCCTAGTCTAGTGTATCACGTCACTCTCTAATCCGCCGTCTTGGAATAAGTACCTTTATTTTCATATTAAGAAGTTTTTCAGTGGCAGGTGCTGTGTCACAGCAGGTTAAAGCCCTGGCCTGCAATGCTGGCATCACATATGGGTGCCAGTTCGAGTCCTGACTGCTCCACTTCTGATCCAGCTCCCTGCTAATGTGCCTGGGAAAGCAGTGGAGGATGGCCCAAGTCCTTGGGCCTGCACCAATGTGGGAGACCCAGAAGAAGCTCCTGGTTCCTGGCTTTGAATCTGCTCAGCTCTGGCCATTGCGGTCATTTGGGGAGTGAACCAGTGGATGGAAGACCTCTCTGTCTCTGTCTCTTTTTCTCTCTCTCTACCTTACTCTATAGCTCTGTCTTTCAAATAAATAAAATCTTAAAAGTTTTTCAAAGTCTCATGCTGTATATATATTATTGTAATACTCTTCAGAGTACTTGATTTTTGCTACTTATCTCCTATTTATCTCTTTCTTCTAGAGACTCCATCGGGATATACTATATTATTTATAGTTGTCTATACTTAGGAAGATTGCTCTACTAGTATACCTTATATCTGTAAAAATATAGAAGAGGGGCCATGACAGAGAATGATAGGAAAAGAAATTTCCTTCGTCTTTTTAGAAAACATTTTCAACATAGTACCTTTAGTTAGTCTGTTTAGATCATTAAAGTATTCTGTCTAATATTTGATGGGTTACTTATGGTTTTTGTAAAAACATGAGAGAAACAGAAGCGTATCCTATTTGTGCTTTAATAAACTTTTGCATCGTTTAGATTTTTACTTAACAAAATTCATAAATTATGGCTAACATAAAATTTAAAATCTTTTGAGCATTTACCACATGTAAGACATTATGTTGTATTCACTAAGTTATCAGACATGGCCCTTGTTTATATTATCAATAAGTGAATTAATGCACATTTGATAAAAGGAAGCCAATCATGCTTCTGCTGATCGCAGTGCCATGCCTACCTAAAGCAATTGTTTCTGCATTGAAGAGGCAAAAGTGCATGGCCCCTGTGATCATGGCCATTTCGATACAAGGCTTTCTGCTTGACAAGTCCAAACTGAATCAGGAATTTTAGAATCAACTTCCCACATATGAGATGTATGCTCCTTTTTTCAAAAAGAAGATTAATTTTCTGTATTAAAATTTTTAATTAATAAAGAAGTCTGTGATTTATATGGATCTATTCCTATGACCATTTATTAAAGTACACCACATTATTCTGTTTCTTTACTCAAAAGCATCCCTAGTCTTGAAATTCCTTTCCATGTGCCAGTGTTGCTCCATCAGAAACTCTGATTTGAAGGAGATAACCCAAGCCTAGGGTTTTCCTTTGAAAAGACCTGTCACTTTGTGTCAATTGTGGGAATTCGTGTCAATTTCTGAAGTCATTTCATATTTGCTTTGCATTACATCATTTTGTTCATGTCTCAAGCAACTGAAGATGAACCTGAAAATTTATTGGACAAGACAGATCCCTTCCCAAGTGCAGATAAGCTTGAAAGGCAAAGGTGAAAAAACACTCAATGTTTTAGGAGCACCTAAAATATATAACTAAAACAGCACAAAACTTTAGTGATTAAATGCAATTTGGTATCGTCACCATGGACATTAAAAACAAAATGAACTGGAACTGAATTGTATTTGAATCCTTTATTTCCCGATCTGTTTTTGGTATCATTGAACTTCAAAAGTCTTTTGAATAGCTGGATTTTATATGAATGTTTGATGATAGCTCTGCTGGCTTGCATAGAATAGACTCTATGAATTGAGATGCCATTCTAACAGCAGAGAGGTTGGCAATATATCATCAACACTCCTGTCACTTTTTCTGTGGCACAGGGGTGGTTGGAAAGTAGACTTGGTCTGTGTGAAATGTTCTCTGTCTCTCATCTGAACAGACTTCATATTTGATATCATAATTCAGTCAATTGGAATGGTATTTGACTTGTTTTCCAAGACTAATTTTTATCTGCAAATAAATATGCACATACAGTTGAGAGACTCAAAAGCATCCCTCAGTCTTGAAATTCTTCTGGAAGATTTTCTTAACATCTACATTTGTTTTGCTCTAAAGCAGAACCACTGAAAATTTAGCATCCCATACTAAGTTAGGAATATAAGGATTAATGTTCAATATAAGGAGAATACATGGAGAAATAGGTCTTTTATGACATTTCTTTTTATGAGTGAGAAGGGATCTAATAAATTACTTTATTGCATCTCTTCTCACAAGTGAAGATAAATGTCATCAAAGACTTCAGGTCTCATGCATTGCCTTTAATGTACAGTTCTGTCCTCCTATATTTCTATATTTGTCAAAATCATCCAATGGGTATTACTTCATCATCAAATACTTTTTAAGACAAAAAATAAAATAACATGTTGAGAAGAACATGTTTCATTTCATTTAGGTTGTTGCTCAACTCGTCATGTGTCCTTTCTTAGGTAACTCCCCTGTTACATTTTTCTCTTAATATTTCTCATCTCCAAGGACTGAGCATTCACTTTTTATGTTGAGTGAAGTTTTAGACATGCTGCGGATTTTTTCATAATAATATTTTGTGCCTTTTTAATATTCTTTGTCTGAAGTAATTTTTTTAAAATTTATTTGACAGGCAGAGTTAGACAGTGAGAGAAAGAGACATAGAGAAAGGTCTTCCTTCTGTTGGTTCAACCCCCAGATGGCCGGAGCTACACTGATCTGAAGCCAGGAGCTAGGTGCCTCCTCCTGGTCTCCCATGCGGGTGCAAGGCCCAAGCACTTGGGCCATCCTCCACTGCCTTCTCGGGCCACAGTAGAGAGCTGGACTGGAAGAGGAGCAACTGGGACTAGAACCCGGCGCCCATATGGGATGCCGGCGCTACAGGCAGAGGATTAATCAAGTGAGCCACAGTGCCAGCCCCTGTCTGAAATAATATTACTGCTCCCAAAATTTGTACCTTCTTATATTTTAACATTTTTGGATAGTGATTATCAAACAACTAGCTATATACATTAGACACAAAAATGCAATCTGTATTCTTCTGTTATACTCAAGCCACGCAACTCACTACACTCTCCTCTGGGGTCTACATTTTTATTATCATTCTGATTTTTTCCCCACTTTATAATACTGTGACTAAATCCTGGTAATTTTTTACTTGGACAACGGTTAAAGTCCACTAAAGCAGCAACTTTGCAACACATCGTGAAGAAATATATTTACATCAGTACTCAAGAGATACAGTCATAATTAAAACTGAATTTACATTGGTGAAATAAAATATTCAAAAACACAATTCTTCCTCTTAAAGTGTGAAGCACAATGACATTTCTATTCTATTTTATTCTATTCTACCTATTCTATTCTACTCCATTCCATTCCATTCCATTATTACAGGAAAATTGATTTTAAAACCTCACTAAGGAGTTTCTCCTTGCAAATGAAAAAAAAAAAAAAACTAAAAAAGAATTACTCATTCTTCAATCATGACCCTTACTAATGGAGTTTTCACACTTCCAGAAAAATGTTTCTGTTCTGCTTATATAAATACATAATTTCTCCCTTTAAGTCTCTCTATTTTCATCTCCTGGATAAACACTAAACTAATCACTGTACTATGTAGTGAGTGTTCCTGCTATCACCTCCTGTGCATCAGTTTTACTCCCTGAATTCACACACTCAAGCTATTCCATTTTGTAGCTATCTGTCTTCCACACAGAACTTCTGACTAGAAAGCTGCCTTCCTGCCACCTTATATTTTCTGTCCTTCCAGACTCTGCTCAGACATCTTTCCTTTTCTCTAAAGCTTCTCCTAATCCTTCCTAAACAAAAATTGTTTCACTTACTTGGTGTCATCACTGTAATCAGAAAAGCTCCTTTTTCTAACACTTAAATGGATAAACTCATAATTCACTCCCAGCAATACCTCCACCTTGCCTGGATAGCCAATTGAGTTTGGATATATCATACAGGGAGATGGTTGCCTGCTGATTCAACTTCTTCAGGTTTTCTAATCGTTTATGAATTTCTCATTCCCTTTGAATTTTTGTGCTTCTACTCATTAGATGGATTGGTTTAAGATTCTTCCATAACCAGAGCAGAAGTTACACTTCATCAACAAAATAATAAATTCTGTTTGATTTGATTTCTATCACAACTAGACGATTGTAAACTACACTAAAAAGTATGGCATGACTGTTTTGAACCAGGAAGCATTGAGATGTGTTCTCTGTTAAATAAACAGTCACAAGGCCTATGATCTCCCTGGCTTTCCGCCAGGATAGAATAGAATTTAGGTTTGTGGTATTTATGGGACATATATAGGAATCAAGAAGATGGAGCATATGGAATTTTCAGGAGAGTGTACTGGGGAAGATGGAGAAAAAGATGTCCAGAAAATCCAAAGAAGAAAGGCAGGAATATGGATTGGAGGGAGGTGGTGGGGAAGAATCATCATGTTCCCAAATTTGTATATATTAAATGTATGAAGTTGTATTCCTTAAGCAAAATTTAAAAAGTCAAGCTACATAGCTGGGAAACTGTAATAAAATTAATTGTTTTATAAAGAAATTTTATTTTCCAACATTATAAAACAAAACAAAACAAAAGGCCCTCAATATTCTTTGGCTAAATCCTAGGTTGAATACTAATCTCCATATGCTCCAAGTGAAACTCTAGGAGCGCAGGAATCTACAAGCTGAACAATGCCACAAGCTCATATAGGGATGGCAGCCATGGAAGTATTTTCTAACCATTACGAGATCTGGTTGAATATCTAAAATAGTCAATGGAGAACTTGGAAACATTACCCCTGAGTAACAAAGCTAAACTAGTCCTAGAGAAAAGTCTATTTTAGACCTTCTGTCATAAATCTTAAAAGAACAAAGTCTTCAAATATTCGGGTAACTGCCAAAAATCTATATTTTCTAAAAAAAGTGAAAATCCAAAATAATCAAGAATGCATTATTCATAATATCTGAAACTTGATGAGATATTACTATAATACTATATATACTATAAATTTTACTATGTAAATAATCAAGTTTGAACCATAAGCAAGAGAAAAAGTAATTAATAAAGCAGAGTCAGAAATAGCAGAGATGAAGAATTTAGCAGATTAACTTTTAAAGCAACTTTCACAAACATGTACAATAATTGAAAGGAAAACATAAACTTAACTAACACAGAATCTGAAACTTTTTAAAGAATAAATGTAATTTCTAGAACTGAAAAGCAAAATATTTGAAATGAAAAAAGTAACGAGTACTCAAACAATATATTTCACTTTGTGTTTCTATGGGGGTGCAAACTGTTGAAATCCTTACTTAATGCATACTAAACTGATCCTCTGTCATATGCTAGTGAAAAAAAAAAAAAAAAAAAAAAAAAAGAATTTATCAATTCCCAACTTGACCTTCACTGGAATTAAACATGACAACAGGTCTGCTCTGATTTCATCATCATTTAAAAAAAATCATCTATTATTTTTCACTTTATGTTTCCGGTGTGAGAGCAAACTGGTGAAATCCCATACTTGATGTATTACTAAGGTGATCTTCTGTATATTAAGATAATCGAAAATGAATCTTGATGTGAATGAAGGGGAGAGGGAGTGGGAAAAGGGAGGGTTGTGGGTGGGAGGGGACGGTATGGGGGGAGAAGCCATTGTAATCCATAAGTCGTACTTTGGAAATTTATATGCATTAAATAAAAGTTAAAAAAAATAAAAAAAATAAAGTCATCGAATAATTTAACAGCATATCAAACCCTACAGAAGAATAAAAAATAAAGAACCTGAAGATATAATAGCAAATATACCCAAGCCAAAGCACAAAAATGACTGAAAAAATTTTGAATCCTAAGTCACCTGTGAGTCAACAGTAAGTGGGTCTAACCCATACATACATAGAGTCAAAGAAAAAAAGAGTCTAAAGAAAAGGCAGGACAGGCCAGCGCCGTGGCTCACTAGGCTAATCCTCCGCCTGCGGTGCCGGCACCCGAGGTTCTAGTCCCGGTCGGAGCACCGGGCTCCTGGCTCCTGGCTTCGGATCAACACAGGCGCTGGCCGTAGCGGCCATTTTGGGGGTGAACCAACAGAAAAGGAAGACTTTTCTCTCTGTCTCTCACACTGTCTAACTCTGCCTGTCAAAAAAATTTTTAAAAAAAGGTTAGGACAAATATAGAAACAATAACAATAAAAACCTTTTATTTATTAAGAAAATAAAATAAAACCACCAAATGATATCACAGTGAAATTGTTGAAGACCAATGATAAAAGAAACTTTTAAAAAGATTTATTTATTTGAAACTCAGAGTTACAGAAAGGGAGAGATGCAGAGAGCAAGAGAGAGAGGAAGAGATTTTCCAACTCATAGTTCACCCCCAGAAAGCTGCAACAGCCAGGGTTGGGTTGGGTCCAAGCCAGGAGCCAGGAACTTCTTCCAGGTCTCAGCTGTGGTTAACAGGGGCCCAAGCAGTTGGACCATTTTCCACTGCTTTCCCAGGTGCATTAGCAGGGAGCTAGATCAGAACTGGAGCAGCTACGACACAATCCAGCACCCATTAGGGACCACAAGATCCATAAGCCCATAAGGTCCCCAAATAAAGTTGCTTACATTTTCAAAACTTATTTTAAAAATACGTGGATGTATGGTGGAGACTTTATGTGACCCATGAAGCCTAAAGTATTACTCTCTGGCCTTTATAGATAAAACTTTCCAACTTCTAAAGTATAACTGTGATATGTTAAAGATGATACTGCAAATTCTAGAGAATCTACTGAAAATATAAAGCACAAAGGTTATAGCTCATACCTTGAAAGTAGACATTAAATGGAGATAACATGTTTAATTTAAAAGCGAATGTCTTTTTTTCTTCTGTGCAGTTGGACTAGGTAGGTGGTTGTCAGCATGCTGGAGGACAAGTCAGAAGCAGATCCTCTTGACTGTTTGACATCAGATGCAGATATGGACATTGATAATGAAAGATTCATCAAGTGACTCATCTGTAGAAGCAAGACCAAGACCATTGACACTAAATGCACTTATTGAAAAATTTAAGAAAAAGAAACATAAAAGAAGGAAAAAAAAAAAAACAAATACAAGGCAACAGGAAGACCAAAAGGTAGGCCTAAAGGATGGAAAGACACTAAAATATCCCATGTAGATAAAAACCAATTTAAAGACAAAGGACCTAGGTTCTCATGTGTAGAATCAGAGAATGGAACTCACCCATCACCTGGGAGGAGAATTGTAACCCTTGAGCAAGCTGTTGCAAGAGGAATTTTTAATCACACTGAAAAACTGAAGTGTGAATATCACCTGAAAGAAGACCTTTAATAAATGGAGGTTGGTGAAGATTTAGGAAAAGACCTTGATAGTCCTAGATACAAGTGTTCGGTGAGGATGGATCTGTGGCTCCTGTTGAAGAATCAGTGGCAGAGGATGAGGAAGCAGCACACCCTGAACAGGATGAATGTGATTTCAGATTGGAAGACAGTGGTTGTTTCATAATAAATTCTGAATTCCCAAAGCTGATGAATGTGAATTCAGAACAAGAGAATATGAAACAAGCTGTTTCATCTAAGAAGAGAGCCTCAAAGGTCAAAAACACTGCACAGAAGACAGAACCTCCTGAAAAGGAGACAGCAACATGGAAGTCAAAGAAGGTAGATGATGAACAGGAAACGTGACTCTTCGCAGAAAGACATGACCAGAAACGGTAAGTGTGGCTGTAGATGCCAGTCTGCTGATGAAGAAATTCTTAAAACCAGAACCATGTGAGGCCAAAAAAAAAAAAAAAAGCGCTCAACAAGTCTGTGAAAAAGACATCTTAAATCTTACCATTTGGGGAAAGCTGTGAAATGACACTACCTAAATAAAAGATCCTGCTCTTTTTGTCAGCATTTACTGATTTCAGAGTAATAGACTGTACATGTGTCACTTTAGCACTAAAACAATGAAGTACAGATATTAATCTTAAAAAGTCCTTTTTTAAAAGATTTGTTTGAAAGGCAATGTTAGAGGGAAAGACAAGTCATCTGCTGGCTCACTCCCTAAATGGCTGCAACCACCAGTATGGGGTCAGACCAAAACCGGGAGCTTATTTGGGTCTCCCACTGGGTGCAGAGCTTTCCCACTGGAATTAGCAGGGAGCTGGATCAGAGGTGGAGCACCAAGACTTGAGCCTGCACCCATATGGGATGCGAGCATCCAGGCTTAACCTATGCCACATCAGCACCCCCAAAAATCTTACATGAGATGTCCAAGCACCTTTATTAGTGTATTTGGAATGATCTATTTGACAGGTTTATTTAGCCAGCAGTGACCTTTCACTAGCAAATGTTTTGTGTACAGACTGAAATAAAATTCCCTACCAATTAAAAAAAAAGTGAACAAAAATGCAACAGAAACAAAGAAAATATTTTAAAATAGAAAATAAATTTCAGGAGGGTAAATTTGTTCTCAAGAATACTTGTGATTACATTAAATATCAGCTATATAAACATACCAATTAAAAGTCATAGCTTCTATGCCAAAATCTCCATCAGTTGACCTAATTCACTACCACTGGGTACTCACAGATGTATGGGATCCTCAAACTGTTTGAGAAATAAAAGGTTATACTTTGCCATCCTGTATAAAATTGCTAGAGCCATTTATATGTTTTGTACTAAATAGCCAGTTGATATGTAAAGATTCCTATATTAAAATAAAAAGCATTGAAACAAACATATTATCCAAATATTAATAAGTGCAAAGCAGGAATGTCTATATTGGTCTTAAATTGATTCCCTCTTATGAAATCTATAAAATAAACTTGATGAGAGGGAGCATTACTAGGAGTAAAGAGGAATTTTTTTCATGTCATAACGATAAAATAGACTACATTAAAAAAAACTTAGGAATCTTAAATGTGTATTACAGAAAAAGAGAGTTTAAAAACATATGAAAAAAAACTAAAAATAAGTGCAAGAAAAAATAGACAAAATTATTGTTGAAGCTTTATTACTATACTAATTCATACACTTGGCAGATAGAAAATCACAAACACATAGAATGTCTAAAGTACAGCATTAGTCAATTCAAACTAACAATTATCAAGCATGTCACCTAACTACTGAAGAATACACATTACTTTCCTGTGCACATTGAACTTTTACTGCAGTACAACTATCCTAGGCTACAAATCACTTTTCATTAATCTTCAACTTATTTAAATACTACAGGGTATATACTAGGCATAATTAAAATAAACTGTTCACGAATTCGAAGGTTTAATATTATTAAGATGCAAATTTTCCCCCAGATTAATTTGTAGATTAATAAAACTCAGATCAAAATTCCAAATGTGTTAATTCTAGGACTTGGTAATTTTTTCTAGTAATGTATGAACATGTCAAAAATAAACTAGAATGATGGAAACATGTTTTAAAAAGAAAATCAGTTAGGGATGACACTATTTAATTTCAAGTTGTAATATAAACTACAGTAACCACAACCATGTGTTATTTGTGAAATTAAAATATATAGATCAATGAAGAAGACTGAGAAGTCCAGAATTAAATCCACACTTAGATAGTCAATTGATTTTCAACAGATATGTCAAGATAGTCAACGGCAACAGTATTTATTCTGTTGGAACAAAGACATATGTGCTTAAAAAGTGAAACATTCCTCTACCTCACATTGTATACAAAAAATAATTTGAAATTTACTTAAATGTAAATGCTCAAAATATAAAGCATACAGAAGAAAACATAAAGTAAAACTTGCTCTCCAGGAAGTAAGCAGATTTCTTAGGACTCCAAAAGCATCAACTACGAAAGAAAATTTTTATTCAGACTCATGATAATTAAAAATCTCTGTGCTTTGGAAGACATCAACTTAACAAAATGAAAACAATTAACAAACCAGCAAAAATTCTTTGTATTACATGATATGACAAGAGACTTGAAAACAAGAGTATATATGAACTTCTAAATTCAATTTTAAGGAAGCAAACAGCCCTACAGAAATTGATGGAAAACTTAAGGACACTTTTCAGAAAATATATCTAAATTGCCAATAAACACATAAAAAATAAAGTTCAGCATTATAGCATCATTATCCACTAGGGAAATACAAATTGAAATCAAATTAAGTAACACTACTTACTGACTGAAATGGTTAAAGCTAGAAAGATTGAGTGTTGCAGAGCTGAAACATAATGGAGCAACTGGAATTCCTCTATAGTATTTTTGAGAATGCAAAACAATCATTTTAGAAGTTATTTTGGCAGTTTCTTGTAAAGTTAAATTTACATTTATCATGATATATAAGTTTGACTAGTAAGTATTTATTCCTCAAAGAAATGAAAACATTTCTACATGAAGACTAGTAAAAAACAATTGACATCAACTTGATTCGTTATAGCTTAAATCTGCAAACAATTCAAATGTGCATGCATGGTTTGTAAGTAAAGAAAGAAATTTTGTGACAAGCTGACAGTATACTACTTAGCAATAAAATGGAATAAACTACAGAAACATACCACAGCACAAGGGAATCCCCATAAGAAATCTGAAACAAAAAAGTACATGTTATGTTGATTCCATTTAAATGAAATAGTACACCGCAAAAATTAACCTGCAAATCCAAAAAAGCAGATCAATGTTTGCTGGAGCTAGGGATCAGTATTGGGTTGGGTAACTATGGAACCTTTAAGTGAAAGAAATATTTTACATCATGATTGTAGCGGTGGTTACAAGGATATATATATATATATTTGTCATACATCATATTTACATTTAAAATGAGTACATGTTATTGTATTTAAATCAACATTCAAATTTGCTAATATTCCCAGTAGGCAGCACTGAATATGCAAAAATTGCTCTGTTTTGATGTGGGGAAGAGAAAGCATGGCAATTCTGCACATGATGTTACTGCTAGCATATTGGCCTAGATAGCAGGTTATGGATAATGTGAAGGCTGAAAGGGATGCTGTGAAATTTTTTTTTAAGATTTATTTTATTGATTATGAAAGGCAATGTTACAGAGTAAGAGACAGAGAGAGAGAGAAAGAGAGAGATCTTCCACCTGCTGATTCAGTCCTCGAATGGCCTCAATGGCAAAAGAGCTGTGCTAGGCCGAAGCCAGGAGCCAAGAGCTCCCTCTGGGTCTCACATGTTGGTACAGGGGCCCATTGACTAGGGTCATCCTCCATTGCTTCCTCAGGCACATTAGCAGGGAATTGGATTGGAAGTGGAGCAGCTGGGACTTGAACCGGCACTCATAAGGGATGCTGGTGCCGCAGGTGGAGGCTTAACCCACTACACCACAGCACCAGCCCCTGACCATTTTATTCTTGTCATTGCTCTGGCACCATTCGGGGATGCCAATGCTGCAGTCAGTGGCTGAACCCGCTGTGCCACAATCCTGGTCCCGGCATTTGAGCAGTGAGTGCTGTGCTAAAAGGAAAAGAAATGACAGAAAGGGAGGGATGAAACATAGAAAATATTTTTTAATCTTTTTTTCTCCTGGAGAGTCAGTCTCTTGGAACTTTCCAGAATATGATTCTCTGGGACATTGGCCAATATCAGGACTATCTGCATAGGGAGCCAGAATGTGATGGTTCTCAAACTATTAACATTCCTTCTCCCTAAATCCTATTTCTGGGCTGACATACACTGTTGTGACACCTCCACATGGTGCAGCAAAACAGACAATAAATTTCACTTTAACTTAGTAGGCATTAAGTAAGTAAAACAAGCCTTGAGTTTTGTAGAATGCTTCCTTTCTTTCAGAATGCACATGCCAGATAGAAGCGCATAGTGGAACATATAATCTACTTACATTTTGGATAGTGTGGCAGAGAAAATGTGCATCAAATGCATTTCATAATCTTTCTCCTGGTGCATAATAGAAACTACATTTCCCAGTGACTTTGCCGTTAGGCAAGACCAAGGACCAACTCTGGAAAATTTAACTGCGGGCAAAGACAGTGCAAGCCCTTTGACAATTCTCTTGGTTTCCTCTCCTCCCCTGTCTTGGTCACTAGTGATGTTTGATCTGGATGAGGGAGGCTCCATTGGCTTGGATATCTGGTAATTCTGCAGTACAGACACTCTCCTCTTTTCTTGCCAGCCTTCCTTGGACATGGAACAAGAGTTAGAAACTATTTTGTTCTGCAAAGTCACTACAATCTGATCTAATTTAACTCGTACTAGTACAACCAGTCTATGTTGTATACCAAACAAATGCCTCATCCACTTAAAAAAAAAAAAGTGCTAGAATCACAAAGAAAACATTTCTGAATTAAGGGGGATTATAGGAATCAATCAGTTGATAAGAAATAGCATTTTTTTTATCTTCTAAAACTTTTCATTGGATTTTCAGTATCATAAAATATTATTAAAAGCTTAGTAGAATCTAATCAAATATAAATGCAAAATCAATATCACTGGAAAATAGGAAGTAAACTAATGGAACTACAATAAGGTCTCTCTCTCTATTTGTATATGTATATTGTGTATAACATATAAGTGTGTGTTATTTATTTATGCATATGCATATAAACTTTGATATAGCTCAAAATATACAGAAAGTGGTAGATATATGTGGGTATTCTGGGAAATAGAATTAAAATGTTTATTTTGCAGAAAAGAATTTGAAATTCATGTGTATGGTGTGTCTTCAACATGTTCACGGAAACTATCTTATTATAAAAAAGCTGTGCATGGGAGATATTAGAAAAAACTCTTGGTATGAATAAGAATGACTTACTCTAACTTGAATTAAATGGACATAATTTCAACATGGAGGGTAACTGAGACTCAAAAGAAAAGCTGGATAACAAATACAGCATTAGGCATATCATGGACTTTTTGACCAGGGAGATATTATCAGTTATCAGAATTCTGACTACCTTCTACCCATATGTCTCTACTACCAATTAAAGGATCCGATATAGAACTAGATTGATTCAGACTGTATGCAATGCTCTAGTTGAAGGGGTGAGAAAGATGTCTTTTTACTTCCTGGTATTGTATCTAAGAATAATAGTGCAACTCAAGACATAGGCTATAGTGCCAGTTTGGAAAGGGTGGTATAAACATTTTGCTATGGCTTCAGAAACTTTTTCTTTTCCATTGTTAAGTGGCTGAACTGGTGAGATTTGTGGTTGTACTTTTCCAAGCTGTTGTCTAGATTCTTCTCCTAGGCTGGCAAAACAAAGCAGAGCATGGCAGGGATTCTGACTCTGACTGAAGTCTGCTGAAACTGTGATTGCAAATAAAGAGAATAGAGTTAGGCTGTGGTTACAATAGGTTTTGCAAAGAGAAATAGAAGCCTGCATCATTCATGGAAGAAAGAGAAACTTCATGCACACAGACTTTCAGTCAAAAGTGTGCAACAAGGGCTGAAGCTGTGGCACAGCTGGTTAAGCTGTTGTCTGTAGCACCAGCACCCCATTTGGGAGCCAGTTCCAGTCCCAGCTGCTCCACTTCCCATCCAGATCCCTGCTAATGGGGCTGAAAAAGCAGTGGAAGATGGCCTACGTGCTTAGGCCCTTGCACCCATGTCAGATACCAAAAGAAACTCCTGGCACCTAGCATTGCCTTGGCCCACCCTTGGTCATTGCTATCATTTGGGAAGTAAACCAGTGGATATAAGATCTCTCTCCTCTCTCTGTTTCTCCCTCTCTCGCTATAACTGAGACTTTCAAATAAATCTCTTAAAAAAGTGTTCAATAGTAATTGGGCAAGAAAAAACACAGGTTGAAATGTAGATTCTTTTATTTCTTGATGCCATGAAAAGTAGACATTTTTTAATGGTACCTGCCAAAGAATATATATGGGTGGTATCAATTTGTTTCCAGGGCAATGAAACCCTGGAAACATAGTAAAAAGTGTTACATTGTTACCATGTGTGATTGAAGATCTCAGCACTACAAATTTGCTGAGTATTAGTTCCTGTTCTTTCAGATCAGCTTCAACAATGAAGACCGAAAGTCCTGCATACAGCAAAAAGCATAAAATCATCACAATCTTCTTAACTATAGTGTTATCTTGAGTTCCTGAAGACAATTCCTCTAAGCAATGCCTCCACTCAAGTAGCTAGGGAACTTGCAACACCTTCAGTTTCTTATATCTCAACATGGGATACAGAGTTATTTCTCAATATAAGGTGTCATGGATTCAGGGTATTTTATTGATATCCAAGACTGATATATGAACCACCTTTGATAATATCCCAGGGATACTCCTGGGGTAAAGTTATGATTATGGTTCTTTTCTCTAACTCACTGGAAAGAGCAGTAAGTGCAGGTTTCTGACACACACACACACAAATGTATACCAGATGCTACCTGCACAGAATAAGATGTTTCATGCAGGATCTTTGTTCCATACCTCAGAGCAGGAAACAGGAATGCTTTCACATGATTTGTACATTGTGGTTTCGTAGAGAAAATTTCATGTTAGTTCAAAAAAAAACACCAGAATTTCATTATTTTCTCCTCAACAATATGTATATACATATCTGGTGAAGTCATAGGTGTCTTAAATTTCAGATACCATTGAAAATGTCATGAAAAGAGAGTGTTTGGCATGGGAGTTAAGACACCACTAGAGGTACCCAAAATGCCTAGGTTCAATTTCCAGTTGTGTTCCCTATTGCAGCTTCCTGCTAATGTGCACTCCAGAATGTAGTCAGCAATGGCTCAATTCTTAGGATCCTCATTATTCTTCTAAGAGATCTGCAGTGAATTTCTGACTCAAGGTTTTGGCCTGCAGCAGTCCTGGCTGTTGCAGGAAATGGGAGATTCAGTTCATTAAATGGGAGATCTCTCTTTTTCTCACACTCTCTCACTCTCCTTGTCTGCCTTTCAAACAAATAAAATAAATAGTAAAAATTAAAATCTCAGAGATATGAATTCTTGTTTTGATACTTAAAAGAGCTGAATACGTTTCAAATCCTTATTTCTCTCAGTTCTGCTAAATAATTTGTGAAAGACATGATGATATAGTCTCCAAATTACCACTTGCAAATGTCAGAAATTAAACTTTTCAATAAAGCCTAGAAATCAATAATATTCATAGAACAATAGTGGCAGCACCTACAGGGTCTTTTAGACCCCCACACCCTGTTCTGAAGAAGCCACTTTAGAGCAGGCAGCTGTGAGTCTTTTAATAACATGAGATAGAACGTAAGAATCTGACATGTGGTGAGGTTCTTCCTTCTAGCTTTTGTAGCCCCCTCTTGCTGAAGTGTTAGCTCACCTCCCACAGTCACATCCTCTGTCATCAGGAAGAACAGCTGGTCTCTGGGAGCCTCAATAATCATCCACATTCCCAGTGTTCTAGCAGGCTCAGGTTGCCTCGGTTTAAAAGCCCAGCTCCTTTAACTCACCCTCAGATTTTCCATTCTTCAATGATTTCATCATTTTTGATGGTCTTTGGACCTTTTCCAAACCCTGTATTTTCTGTCAGTTTTGCTTTTCTTAAACTGGAACAGGCCTTGATGATCAAACACCATGCAACAATTACTTCATGTTCACATTGTTCAGTCTGCTCACAGAATGATGAAGAAAAGTCAGACTCTCATAAAACCCTGAGGGGCCACTCTGTCCCCACGTTGTTCTCACCGTCTGCCCCACATCACATTAATAAAGATAGAAAGTACTTTCCCAATAGGGAAACTATGTAATGGAGCAAGTCTGGTTTCAGACACCCACTACCATCATCTTCAGTCTTTCCTTCCGCATGCCTCCTGATGCTGTCTCTGACCTTGTCAAAATATCTCTGTTGCCAACCTCTTAATGGTTGCAGATTCCTACCCACAGTCTAGAACTCTGAGTCATCACACTATGTCCCAGGTTCTGAGAGCTCTTCAGACATTCCTCTTCCTCCATCACTCTTCCTTCAGAATCCCACCATACATGTTAGGGCTCCTTTTACACTAAGTGAAAGAAATCCACTCAAACCAGTGGCAATAAGAGAGTGATATATATGTTATTTAATTTTACAGTTCTGTGGACTTTATATAAATGTTATCACAGTGTATGTATTTTTCTGTTAACTTGTTATTTCAAAAACAAAAAAAGCATATACTCACAAATATCCATGTTGGTACATGTACCTGAGCAGACTTTATTTTCTCTTCTCTTTAATGTTATTGTTGAACTATCCTGTCAGTGAACAATTAAATTATTTCCAGACTTCTCTATTAATTTAATCAAGACTATTGCAAAAATATTTTTACATGTTTCCATGTACATATTTGCAAGGTTTTCTTTAGGGTATTACTAAATTGGTGACTATGAATATTTTCAACCTTATTAAATGTTACATAGTTTTTCAAAGTAGTTGTGACAACTTATATTTCTAATGCTTGTATAATATATATAAAATATTCTAGATATTAACATTTTATTTGATGTATGTTGCAAAAGTCTTCAAATAACTTATCTTTTTATTTTTTCTGTTTCCTGTGGTTGATACAAACTCTTAATGTGGGTTTTTAATTTCACTTATTGTGATTGTTTTTTAGTCTTAAAAAATCATTACCTCACCTATCAAGATGCTAATTTTATTTTTTTTTAAACTTTTGGCTCCATATTTGAATTCTGATTTTACCTTCAACTGACTGTGCATGGTGGAAGGTAGGAACCCAGTTTGTTTCTTTTTTACACACGGATAAGCAAGTTCCATTTATTATCCCATTTGTCTTCAATGCTAATTTTGTCATATATCAAGATTTCATGTGAGCCTTATTTTAAATTTCTTTTATGTTGTTGATAGCTTATATAACTAATTTCAATGCCATACTATCCTCATTACCTTGGCAAATTTTTCCTCACTGTTATTTTTCCTGCAAAATATTCTGGTACTTCTTGGGTTTTTGTTCTTCCACAAAAAGATTAAATTTAATTAGTCAAAATACACACACACACACAAACACAAGTAATAAGACATCTCCTCTATAAATCAATTAATGGATAATTGATATATCTTTGAGATATTGAATCATTCAATCCATGAATGTGGTATATCTCTCCATTTATTGGCCTATTTTCACATCTTCCACTAAATTTTTATGATGGTTTCCATAATAGCCTTTATATATTTATTATATTTGTTGAATTTACTGTACTATTTTATAAATATAATAAGCATTTATTAATCATATTTGTTAATGATTTCTTGCTGACAAACAAAAATACACTTGAATATTTATCCACCTTGGACTGCTATGAGTAAAATAACTGAATATTTTTTGTAGAAGTCCTCTGGTGAATGTGTTTTCTTTCTCTATATTACTCCTCAGGCGTATAATTGTTGGTCGTAGGTACCTTTTCATTTATAGAGAACTGCTGAATCACTGTCCAAAGTTGTACTTTTACATTCCACCAACAATCAATGTGATACATCACATTAACAAACTGAAGAACAAAAATCATTTGATTATCTCAATAAATTCAGAAAAAGGATTTGATAAAATACAACAGCTTTTCATCATGAAAACTCTAAGCAAATTGGGTATAGAAGAAATATTCATCAACACTACAAGAAACTGGAAAACTGGATTTACACATGCAGAAGTATGAAGCAGAACCCCTATCTTACAGCTTACACAAAAATTCATTCAAAATGGATTGAAGACCTAAATCTATGACCTGATACCATCAAATTGTTAGAGAACATTGGGAAAACCCTGCAAGACATTGGCACAGGCGGAGTTCTTAGGAAAGATCTCAGAAGCACAGGCACTCAAAGCCAAAATTAACAAATGGGATTACATCAAATTGAGAAGTTTCTGTACTGCAAAAGAAACAGGAAAGTGATGAGGCAGTTGAAAGCATGGGGGAAGTTAAATGCAAACTAGGCAACTGATAAAGGATTATTAACCAGCATATATAAAGAGATCAAGAAACTCCACAACAACAAAACAAACAACCCAGTTAAGAAATGAGCGAAGGACTTAAACATTTTTCAAAAGCAGAAATCCAAATGGCCAACAGACACATGAAAAAAATGTTCAGGAATTACTAGCCATCAGGGATATGCAAATCAAAACCACAATGGGATTTCACCTCACTCCAGTAAGATGGCTTTCATACAGAAATCAACAAACAACAAATGCTGGAGAGGATGTGGGGAAAAGGGTACCCTACTCTACTGTTGGTAGGAATGTAAACTGGTAAAACCACCATGGAAGACAGTTTGGAGATACCTCTGAAATCTGAATATAGACCTACCATACAACCCAGCCTTCCCACTCCTTGCAGTTACCCAAGGGAAATGAAATAAGCAAATAAAAGTTATCTGCACCCCCATGTTTATTGCAACTCAGTTCACAAACAGCTAAGATATGGAATGAACCTAAATGCCCGTCAACTGAAGACTGGATAAAGAAATTATGGGATATGTACTCTATGGAATACTGCACAGCCATAAAAAAGAATAAGATCCAGTCATTTGCAACAAACAAGATGAATCTGGAAATCATCATACTTAGTGTAATAAGCCAGTTCCTAAGGTACAAATATGATATGTTCTCCCAGATATGTGATAACTAACAGAGTACCTAAAAGCAAATCTGTAGAACTGAAATTGATACTTTGAGAAGTAATGACTTCAACAGTCCTTCTCTTGACTGTCGAGGAACAGTTTTATTTTTTTCTCTCCTTCATACTATTTATTGAACTGTTTACTTAACATACAGGTAATCATGTGTATAAAGTCAATTGAATATAGATCTCAATAAAAAGAGTGGAAATAATAGAGAGGAGGAAGTTTGTAACTGTAAAGCTGTAGAGTTCTGCATACATTCATATGGACTAATTTCTAGGGGTACAGTTAAAAACCTTACCATGGGACCCCAAATCCCACTAAGATGGATGGTAAAAATGCCACCTTAAGTGTCAAAGTGACCAAATTAAGTGTTAAAGTAATAATCTAGATAGGATTAAGTGTTAAAGGGATCATATAAACAAGATCAAATACCTGATAATAATAATATATAGAATTAAAAAGGAGAGAATGTTCCAACATAGCAAGCAGTCCACACAGGTGGACACAGGTGATGCATAGAATGACATCCACTTTAAACAGCACTCTGACCTAAAAATCATCCCTGAAGTCATTCTGGTCTGGCTGAAAATCCCATGAGAGCATTCTAGGCATGGAAAGCCAAGACACTGTAGGAAAAAATGTCCTACATGAAGGATCTCTGTGAGAGAGACCTCAGTGGAAAGAACTGGCCATCTCCTTTTTGAAGGGAGGAGATAACTTCCACTTTGCTTGTGGCCTTGTCTAAATACTGACAGAGACTGTGGATTCAAAAGGCTTCCATAGCCTTAGCAGCTTATGTAAAGAGCCTAAGGTGATCATTGATGTCATACATAAGAGTGTTAATTGTTAAATTAACAACAGGAGTCACTCTGCACTTAACTTCCCATGCAGAACTTCTGTTCTCAATGAGGGGTATTATGAGAATTAACTGTAAAACCAGTTCTCAAACAGTTTGTGTGTGTGTGTGTGTGTGTGTGTGTGTGTATACAAATTTTTGAAATCTTTACTTAGTATAGACATGGTCTTCTGTGTTAATAAAGTTAATTAATCAATAATGTTTATTGAAAATGAATCTTAATGAAGAATGGGGCTGGAAATGGAGAGGAGGAAGGAGTTGAGTGGGAGTAGGGGTGGGAGAGCAGGTATAGTGGGAAGAATTACTATATTCCTAAAGTTGTACTTATGAAATTTGTACTCATTAAATAAAAGATCTCTTTGGGAAAAAATAAAAATAAAATAAAATTATGAAAACGGTGTAAGAAAACTATTTAATGCTCTAATTAACAGTAATTTTTATCTCAAATATTTCAGATTCAATCTATACTTTCAACATAAAAAAGACTTCAAAGTGTAAATGCTGTATTAGGCTTAAAAATTCTTTACATCCACATCCCATTGATGTCCTTATAATGTTTATAGGCAATTACTATATTTTTTAAAATACAAAACCTGGAGCTGGCACTGTGGCGTACTAGGTTGATCCTCTGCCTGTGGCGCTTGCATACCATATGGGCACCAGTTCTAGTACTGGTTGCTCTTCATCCAGTACAGCTCTCTGCTGTGGCCTGGAAAAGCAGTGGAAGACGGCCCAAGTGCTTGGGCCCTGCACCCGCATGTGAGACCAGGAAGAAGCACCTGGCTCCTGGCTTCGGCTCAGCGTAGCTTCAGCAGTTGCAGCCATTTGGGGAGTGAACCAACGGAAGGAAGACTTTTCTCTCTGTCTCTTCCTCTCATTGTCTGTAACTCTACCTCTCAAATAAATAAGATATTTAAAAAAAATAAAAATATAAAACCCTCTGAAGACATGTTCACAATTTTCAATATGAGATGGCAGAAACTATTTCATTAGCCAAGACAAACCAATGAATTGAGTTCATCAAAGTTTATACAATTGGCCATAACAATGACTGAAATAATAATTTACAAACTCAACTTCACTGAAGATAAGAACATAAAGCAAAATTTTAAACATAACTGGAAAATCTATACATGTGTACATAAAGCTGTTATTTATCTTAGGAGATACCACCAGTTTAATCTTAACTCAGGCATCACAAAGCATTTGTATAGAAAACTATTTGCCAAACAGTAACCTAAGAATCTTTTCTCTGCTGCATAGAGTATGATGTAATAGCAGAATGTTCAAAGAACTTCATAAAGTTCATGTAAAATAGAGTTAAAAACTAAGTTTACTTCTCTGCAAAAAATTTTGAAATTATACATATGTGGAGTCAAATAGGTCATTAAAACATGTAT